CCCCAAAACCCCAAAACCCCAAAACCCCATGATTCATATTTTATTGAAAAAATGGAGAATAATAAATTTGATTTAAAATCGAAAATTTATATTACTAATTCGTTTGGAAATAATGCCTTTAAAATTGAGAGATTTGTTTAGTGAAGACTTAGATCGAGTTTTCGCTTACAGGACACAACGATTTGTGGTCATTAAAGACTTCTGGCTGGGATGTGCACATAAGGTCATTCAGATTGTAATCATGATCTATGTTATTGCTTATGCTATCATTTGGAATGAGGGATATATAAAAAGAGAGTTTGCAACTGGAACCACAATGATTGCAAAGGATGGCGGAGAGATCATTATTAGTTAAAATAATTAAGGTATTACTTGTTATTTATGTTCTTATGCTTGTGATTCTAGAAATGTATTTTGATTACACTCAAGTTATGCAACCGGTTGTAGATTCGAAAGGATTCTTTTTCGCAACTAAGTATATTACAATAAAATCACATGACTATTAGAATCACTGCTAATGAAGAATAACAGCAAGGAATATGCTCTAATAATAGATAATGCCAAGATGATTCAGATTGCTCAAGATAGCTTAAAGGAAAGTGTAATGATGGATTTTGCCATGAAATGGGTTGGTGTGCAGTTAGTAATAAGACTGATAAAGAAATATTCTATACGAATCCTAATGTATTTACGGTATGGTTCAAAGGTTCAGTAAACTTCCCTGAACTTGGAAAAAAACTAGTTTAGTAAATATAGTTATCCTTTATTCTTAAAAGCACTAATTTAGATCTCGAGAAACCAAGAAGATACCCAAAATCACAGGCTAATCAATTTTCGATTGCTGAGCTTCTCAAACAAATACCTGAGGATCAGCAAGTAGATTACGATACTTTCAAAGATAATGGTGCAATTATTCATGGTATAATAACGTAATATGTTAACTATATTAGCCGCTTTCACTTGGGAATGTGATGTTGGAGAATAGTGTGTACCTTTCATAAGTATAAGGCAAGTAGATTATCAGTCTAAAATTAACAAACTTAAGGAGTTAAATCTAACTTAATTCAATATAACTCCTGAGTTCGAAGGCTACCAAACAACTGAGTATTAATATTATCGAGATGCCAAAAATGGTCCTCTCAAGAGAATTTCATACACCAAAACAGGCATTAAATTCTTTGTGGAAACTAAGGGAGTTGGGAAAAAGTTAGCTGTAGCATCAATAATTCTTTAATTGTCACTTGGAATGGCACTGATAAAGATTAATGTTCTAATTGTAGATTTTCTTATGCTTTACATATTCCCTAGTAAAAATTGAGTTATTAATATTTAATTTAGAGCGTGAGATTTATGCCAGAGAGAAATTTATGAAGACTGAAGACTTCAGTGATTTTGACCTTAGAAGAAGATAAGAAGAAGAAGATAAAGAAAGAAGACGACTGAGAAGACTGAGAAGAAAGCAGTAGCAGCGCAATAGTAATAAAGAAGAAGATGAAGATATCTTCTTATGAAATGAAGATTAATCGTACTAATTAAGTTCCAAATGGGACATTTACTACTCCAAATAATGTTTAAATAAATGAGTTGAAATCACTTAGAGTATTATTCATTCATTCAATCGTTCTTTAGAAGAGCTATTTATTAGTTTCTTCAAGAATATCTCTTCTTTTGATATCTCTTAATCAAATAGTTTCTCATTTTAATATCATCTTTATCCATTTAACCTGTTGCAACCTTAGCTACAGTTTGAGCATCTTCATGATCTTCACCAACTTCCATTTTCTTAAGGAAAGCATGCACGTTCTCTTACTCTCTTCTGACCTCATTATCATTTGTATATCTTTGGAAGTTAGAGTTTCTCACATATTAAGTCCACATATTTCTCACTAGATTAGCGTCTTTAGTCTCCTCATCCTTGAGTGGTGACAACTCTGTATTAAGTCTCTTTAGAGTTCTCTTTAAATATTGCTAGTCTTTTATTTTATGATGGAAAACTTAGAGCGTTTCAGTATTCATGTAAGCTTGATGTTAGGCGATTTTAAGAGTTTAAGGAGAACCATTAAATTCAAGCTATTATTAATAATTGAATAAATTATGCTTACTTGAATATATCTGACCATTCCATACTTATTTCCATCTTGACCTTTCAAAGTCTTTGTGATGATTCTATCTCCTAGATTGTCAATTCCTCTAACAATACCTAAAACTAATTACAAGGTAATACTAGCTACCCCCTTCTTGCAGAATGGCAGTAGAGACATTTTTAATAAGAGTGCCCATTGCTGAAGACTCTCCTATTTTGCAAACCATAATGAATTCATAAAATGGCATCTTTAATTTAAGGCTGATTTAATAATTATTAATATTTTATGCAATTAATAACTCGATTATTATAATTTGTTTGATTTATTATTATAACACTTTGACTATAAAAATGGGATAGTGCTCTTGTTTCAACTCTTACGATCCTCGCTAACAAACTTCAAAATTTTCTAAGTGAAGACAAACTGACTCTAGCTCTGGGACATTTTCACCTAAAACAATTAGAAATACGAGGTAAAACCTCATTTCAAGTTTACTAGAAGATTTTAAGGAGGAGGAATTTAATCATCTGATAACTAAAGAAATAAAGCTAGAAAATTTTGAGATCTTGAAAGTGATAGGTAGAGGTTCATTCGCTAAGATATATTTAGTGAAACAGCATCTAGAGGGAAAAGATGAGGTTTTTTACTATGCACTCAAAGTTTTGAAGAAAAAGTAGTTGTATTCGAAAGGTTAAGTGCATCATACAGCTCTTGAAAGGTAAATTCTCCTAGAAGTGAAACACCCTTTTATTGTGGAAATGCATTACGCTTTTCAGTCCCCAGATAGATTCTTTTTCGCTTTGGATTATGTCAATGGAGGTGATCTATACCATCATTTAAAAAAGAAACACAGATTTAATGAAAAAGAAGCAAGATTTTACGCTGCAGAAATGGTCCTGGCATTAGACTATCTTCACGAAAAAGGTTTTATTTATAGAGACCTAAAACCTGAAAATATCCTATTGGATTCTGATGGTCATGTCAAATTAACTGATTTTGGTTTATCAAAATAGCTTAATATGGATTCAAATGAGCTTGCTAAGACATTCTGTGGAACACCATAGTACTTAGCCCCTGAAGTAATTCTGAAAAAGGGCTACAATAAAATGATTGATTGGTGGGGATTGGGTATTTTGATCTTTGAATTTTGCAATGGGTCGCCCCCTTTCACAGACTTGAATATGCACCGTTGTATCAAAGATATTGTGACAAAAAAAACCCCTTAAAGAGATCATTTCAGCAAATCTCTGAAAAGTTTAATTAATTCTCTACTAGAAAAAGATCCAGAAAAGAGATTAGGTAGTATTAATTTAGGTGGAACTGATTCAATTAAAAAACATCCATTTTTTGAAGGAGTTGATTGGGACGCTGTTTTGAATAAAAAAACTAAGCCTCCAATTAAAGTAAAAGTAAAAAGAGAATTTGACACTAAAAATATGGACAAGTAATATCTTAAAGAAGCGATTAAAAATACCCCAGAAAACGAGGGTGTTAATTTGGCTTTACTAAATAAAATGCACTTTGATAATTTTACATTCAATGGAGATGAAAATGATTCTGTTAAAAACAGTAAATAGGCAGATATATATGATCATATTCATCGAAGTAGTATGGCATCCTTTTCTTCTTAGGTCAGCACTGATGATAAAATGATGATAAAGCCTTAAGGTAAACTAAAAGTACAGTTCTAAGAGGAAATCATCGAAGTAGACGATTGCAGTCGTTGAAGAAAATAAATTATGACTTTATATCAATAACATCATATTCTACTGTCTGAAAGATGCAAAAATTATGGTCTTATTGGAATTCAATCATTTGATATAACATCTGAATAATATCATAAGCTAATATTTCTTACATTAGTATTTATAGTTGAGATATTTGCGTAATGGGGTTTTGGGGTTTTGGGGTTTTGGGGTTTTGGGG